TGCTATGCTGGTGTCCAGGGCATTAATCACTCTTCTAATAAACTTCTTCCCCAAAAGGACAATTCACCTCAGTGTTCCCCCTGGAGCCCTAAACCTGAGACCTTTCATATGTTCCTACATAGTGTACTTAGGACAAAAGGAGTCTCTCTCCTCTCAGGAGGGCAGTGCCACCTAGAGTCTGCAGTTCCCTGGGAATTCAGAGGGCTGTGGATGGCTACAACTGCTGCAGGTCATCTGCCAGAAGGAGACTGTGGACCAGGGAAGGACTTAGCATTCTCTGACCCCCGAGATCATGCACAGGTATGATGTCCCTGTTTGTCCACTCTGCCATCAACATGTCAGCAGATGCTAGGCCTATGCCATTAACTGCAGACCCTTGGTCAAGGTGTTTCCCAGACAGTAAGTGGCATGAGTGGTCCTATAGTCATACAGGTCCTATAGTCCTATAGCTGCAGGCTGTTGGTTTGTACTTTACAAAGCCAAGCTATGAGGCAGACCCTTCCAACCTTGGAACAGAGATAACATTCAATTACTTAGGAAATCACACCAATCCATGCCAAGCAGAGGCTAAGCCAGGTTAACGGCAGAGCCAACGAGGTGGTTGGCAGAAACACAGGAGGACGGTGGATTCTGGGGCTTCTGGCTCCTTTCAACCTGTTTTTTTTTTTCTGGTCTTCTTAACATGTCAGCCCCGTGCAGTTTCCTGGAATCTGAGGCTGTTCCCATCTCAGGCAGCAAACTTGGCAGCAAACTCAGGATGCCATCTGTGGGTTCCCTGCCAGCCAGTCCTCAGATCTGATGGAGAGGTAGGTTAGGCAGGCTTGCAAAGGGGAAGTTCAGAGAAGACTCCAGGCATGCCTGGGCCTGTCCACAGCTTGAGAGAGCTGCCGACCAGGGCCCTTCCCTCTAACTCCTCCTGCGGCTCCTCCCCACTTCCCTTCCTGCTACAAATGTGTGGAGAATCCTGCTCCCAAGCTGCCTAGATGCCAGGGGTATGGTGGGAAATTTTGGAAAGTGTAAGGCTGAGCTCACACATAGCTTAACAGAGATATGGAACTGTTCTGAGATAGGGCAGTTGGGATTCAGCTTTGAGCCCTTGGTGCTTACTCAGAGACTGGGGTCCTTCTGATCCTTATACAGCCTGGGGGCTATGCTTAGCTTAACCCTTTAGCCTCAGTCTAGTTGAGGCCACAGACAAGAATCTGATGGACAGACATGATTGTCACTCCCAGGAAAACAAGATGGTATATCACCTTGGAACCTTGGAGAACAGAGGTCTTGGATCGGAAGTCTGAGACTATTTGGGTAGGCTGGGGCTCTCTGGAGAGGGAGACAAGACTCCTTGAATGTGGGACAGAGGCTCTTGGATAGAAAATAGGGTGTTTGCCATCATGGGGCCTCAGAGTAGAGAGGTAGGTCTTTCTTCAAGACTGAATGGGGTAAAGAGAGGGCCCAGAGCTGGTGTGGGAGATTGTCAGCTCAGGAGGAGAATAGCAAGCCTGTGGGTAGCATGAGGGTATGTGCTCCATCCTAGTGCAGGGCACTTGCCTACCCCTGTGGGGGGCCTAAAGCCAAAGGTCACTGAGACCACAATGCACTGAACTCTGAAAATGTATCCCAAAGCTAAGCTTGCACAGAGGAGAAAGATGCCGTGAGTATTGTAAGAATCCAGACCAGACTGCAGCCTACCTGCAGCAGCCTCATTCTGCTACAAGGAACTGGCACTATCCTGAGCCTGTCTGTGAGGCTTTAACTCCCCAACAAATCCCCCAAGTGCCCAGATTCCAGAATGACAGGTGCCATTCTCACTTCCCTATGGACACTTACAGACCTCAGGTTATCAGACTCCAGGATGTCAGAGGGCTACCTGGGACACATCTCCTGACCCCTACTGGGCACACCTCAACTAGATGTGCCCCTCCCCGTTACTCGCCCAACATCCTTGAGTCACACATTGCAAAACGTGTCTCCACCTCAAGATATCAAAGATAGCCTGATCACCCAAAACCTTCTCCTGAGACCTATAAAAAGCTCCCCCCCCACCTTGTGGGCTTCAGTGCTCGTCGGAGCCCCTACCATGTGTTTATCTATGGCATTCGGGTCCAGACACAGAGCACTCACCATGCTACTGTTTCCAACTGCCCACGGTGTTAAGTCTTCTTACCCAAAAGGACATTCCACCTTAGCGGCCCCTGGACCCCCTTCCACACAAACCTTTCAAATATGATCCTGAGCTTCATTAGGACCTCAAAGTCCAGCCCTGAATCACCCTTTCTTCTTGGCTTCCAGTCCAGCCTGGGTTAGTCCTGCACACGTCCCAGGGTTCCTGCCCCATTATGAGTCCAAAAGTCCTTGCTCTAGGGAGTGGACAGCAGACCCACCCACTCTGTCTTCATGCCTCCTGGTGACCATGGCAACTCCAGAGGCCCATCATGGTATCAACCTCTGCTTCCACCTGTTCTCAAGGGACACACCACATCCACCATGTCCCTGGGGAGTACAGGTACTCAGGGCTTCAGGTGTACATGTTTGAGGGGTTGTTTTGCTTGCTGTTTTGTGGGAGTCACATGGGAAGATGCCTGGGGAGCACACGACCCCAAGCAACTTCAGAGGACCAGGCCCTGAGGCAGAGGCACTGAGGAGGGCTGTGGCCCAGAGCCATAGGGTGCCAAGGTGTGGGCATAGGGAGAGCCAGCTCAGATAAGACCTCGGCCCCTCCCCTCCCCGGCTGCAGCCCAGTGGTTGTCTATGTATGACATCGTAACTCCTGTGAAGCATTCATATTGCAGCCTGTCCTTTAGTAAATAATTAGCTGGAGATTAAGTTCTGCGATAGTGATGAGATGCCATCAAGTGGTTCATTCTGGGTAGTTGGTTCCTAGGACTGAAAACAGAGGGTTGGAGAAGCTAGGCCATCAGGTGGCGCTATTTACCAGGCTAAAGTGGCTGATCTATCCTGAAATTCACACTGACAAGCTTAGAAGGGCAGCGGTAGCCAGGGGGATTCTGAGGGCAGAGCGGGAACTGGAGGGAGGTTGGCTGGCTGCAGAAGTGCTCTCTCTGCAGAGATGATGGGAAAGACTAGTGCAGAGCATCAGTTACAAGCTGGGACAGCTGACAGGGCATTTGTTCTACCACTCTGTACTTGCTGTCACCTCAGGGGGTGACAGTCTCCTACCCCCATGTCCTCAGTAACTTGACTAATTTTTACCCAATGTCTAAGTTTTATGAAACTCGTTGTAGATAAACCAAGAGATGCTAAGGGTTATTGTCTGTCCAGCAAGGCCTATGAGGCCAAGGAACTGACCTACATACTGCCCTGTCCCCAGCATTGAGTGGCACCCAGCGACAGCTTTCAGATAATGTCTATGATACACTGAAATCTTCAGAGTGAAACACTCAGGGGCAGCATGATCCCAACTTGCAACAACAGTCCACCCTTGAATGGAGTAGAGTTGCAGTTGCCCTGCCCTCTGCAGGGACAGGCTGCAGGAAGGTAATGGTTCAATGCTTCTGTGTACTTTACCTATGGTTGGCCTCGGGTGGGAGGAGGGTCCCTACCTGGGGTCTCGGTTGGCTGCTGTCACTCTGACCCTACCCATGGGGAGTCGCTCTTGGCCTAGTCTGTCTTCCCTCAGTCCCTGAAGAGCTACTAGTGGCTGAGTCAGGGGGTTCTTGTCCTGAGACCACTGGCAGGTCTAATGAAGCCAAGCCTGTGTCAGTGCCCTGGCTGGTATGATGGGGCCAGCGGAGGATGGGGTCCTTAGGGGTCTGAGTCACCTAGGCTTCTAGTTACCACCAGGCAATGGGAGGCTGGACCTCCCTCCCCACCCACACCCCAGGAGCCTGGGTCATGTGACTGTCAGCTCTTAATGAATTTCAGCACCATCTGGTTCTGTGGAGCCAGTAGCTATAACAGTATATATTCTGCAACAGCCTCTGGTTATTTGACCTAGCAGCAGAAAAGGCCCTGTGCTAATGAACGGGCTTGCTGTCCTCGCCACTCATGGACATGGGGACAGACTGCAGGCACTTCTGCTCCTCAGGCTCCAAGCCTTTCACAGCCTTCCAGTAAAACTGGTTGCTACCAGCTGCTGCCCAAGGACCTCTAAGCCCGAGCCTCCATACTGAGCCCTCAGCACACAGATGACCGACCACTCCATCTTCCTTAGGTACTGGGCTGCCAGGTACTCTGAGCAGCTCTTGCCAGGCCCTCTTCTCTGATAGGGCAGATGAGACCAAGAAGCTACCATGGCTCACAGTCCACAGGTAGTCCAAAAAAGAAGGTGAGAAGTATATAGGAATGCTCAAAACCAAAGCTTCAAAATGTTTCCTGAATACACCATCCTTCCCTAGAACACAGCACTGTCACCCAGACATGGCCATGCCAGGGATGGACAGGTGGATCAGCTCACTCTGATGCCTGCTCTGTGGTAAAAGTCCAGGAACCATGGCTGAGGCCTCTTCTCCCACCCTGGCAAAGGAACCAGCCAGCTGTTGTCCAGACTTCTAGGCAGGAAGCCCCATGGTATGGAGCATTCCTGGGGTTCCCAATATTCTGGCTCACCAGGGACTGTGCATGGCAGGAGCCACAGAGGGCAACCAAGGCTGCTCTTGGCTCCCTCCAGACCTTCCCCATAGCAATGTGGTACACCTTGTACTTGGGCCCCCAGTTATTCTGGATGCTTCCAGGCTCTGCAGGGACCTGGTGGTGTTATCCAGCATATCGACAGGTGTCTGTGGATGACAGATCTACCTTCCTGCCTCTCCCCTTTTCAGAGGACAAACATGAGCTAGTAACAGATCGCATCATCATGCCTCCAGTGGCCAAGGCTCACTCCTGGGTGGTGCTTATACCCTAGGGTATTCTCAGATGGGGTAAGGCTAGGGGGTCCTTGCATCACATTATTACCGGCTCTCCTTCCTCCCAGCTATGGCCAATCTGACAGACAGAAATGGAAATCGCAGGGAACTGTCCAGAGGAGCTCTGGAGTGAGTCTATCACTCCTTATTCTCCCGGATGCTCAGAGCCCCACCCTTCCCTGCCTTGCAGGCCCTGAGTACCTTTTCCAAAGCAGTCTTGTTTTCCCTCATCTTCCTCCTTGAGGTGTATGGGAAACAGCACACCCAGCTGGTCCTGGTCCTGAAGGCCAAGAGCATGGGGGTAAGAAAGCCTTCCCCACCTTGTACTATGTCACCTACCTGGGCAGCAGCCTCCACCCCACATTCTCCAGCATTGTTCCGTCCAACTCCACTGCCCTCAGGGATGTAGGGTTTGCCCCCAGCCAACCTTGGGTTTCTTCCAGACCAAATTCTAGAGCCATCTGCCTATTTTATTTTATGTGTATGTAAGTGCACCATGTGCATGCAATGCCCATGGAGGCCAAAAGAGGCCATCCCCTAATGGTGGAGCTACAGAGGGTTGTAAGCTGCCATGTGGGTGCTAGAAACAGAACCTTGGTCCTCAGCAAGAGCAGCCAGTGCTCTTAACCATCAAGCCATCTCTCCAGTCCCCCAGCTGCCTAATTTTGTGCATCAGCCAACCCCAGGTCTCTGGCCAGAGGGATCCCTTAAACACAAGAGAACAATTGAATGTAGCCTGACCCCAGGCCCCAAAGCTTTAATGTGGAGGAGGAATGGAACTTGTATCTGTGATTTTACCATAGCTCCCACCATGCTGCTGTGCAGGAATCACCTTGCTCAGAGCCCAAATCACACAACTGGGCTGCAGTGGAGTTTCTGGTGCAAGGTTTGTCCTATCACTGAGGGTGCCTAAGTGTAAAACTGGAAGAAAATTGAGCAGGCGGGTGTTCAAGGGAGAGGTTCAGACAGGTGTCCCAGCATCTGTCCTGCCCAGGTCACATGTAGACCCCAGTCCCTTCTAGGAGGCCTCTACTTCTCAAGGGCTACTTTGGCATCCACCCCATTTGGGGTAGTAAGCATGGCAGTTGGAACCAAGATGGCAGATCTGACAGTCCAGCCCTCAGGGCAGAGAGCAAAGCTACCCATCCCTGTGTCCTGTGGCCAAATCTATCCAAGAACCAAGTGTAAAGGAATTCTCACTTAGAAAAGACCTGCCTGTGTTAAGCCTGGACTGGGAAGTGTGGCAAGACAGTCCCGATCTCTTGGTTAAAAGCTGATATGGGAGTTGGAGAGATGGCTCAGTGGTTAAGAGCACTGTTTGTTCTTCTAGAAGACCCAGGTTCGATTCTCAGCACCCACATGATGGCTAACAAACATCTGTAACTCCAGTTCCAGGGGATCCGGTATCCTCTTCTGGTCTCTTCGGGCATTGTATGACACGGGTGCACATGCGTGCAAGCAAAACACTCATACACATAAAATTATATAAAAATTTTTAAAAGCCTTTTTTAAAAGTCATCTATCATGATTTGGTAATGTGGAGGTCAGACAGGGGAACTTCCCAGTGAGGATGGTCTAAATATCCCTGAATTCCTTCCCACAAGACATACAAGCACCTGACACCCTGCATAAACACAGGCTGCATCTGAGTGAGACATTGAAGACCAGCCATCCTATCAGTTGTGGCTCTAAGTGGGGTTTGGGGTGATTATGAACTTCCCCTTTTTGGTGCTACTCCATATGGCAACAGTTCTTTGAGGACAACTTATCAGTTTTACAAACCAAATAGAGCACATTTATTCTATAAAAATATGTAAGTAAATAAGCCAAAATACTAACAAAACTATTAATCCTAAGATGTCAAAATTTGAGTCACTTTTGTTCTTTGTATTTCTCTGTGTTCTTAGAAATTAAACAAAATAAGCTGGGTTTGGTGGCGCACACCTGTAGTCCCAGCACTTGGGAGGCAGAGGCAGGCAGATCTCTGTGAGTTCAAGGCCAGCCTGGTCTACATAGTGAGTTCCAGGACAACTGGGGCTACAGGGAGACCCTGCTTCAAAAAGACAAAAAAAAAAAAAGAAAAGAAAAGAAAAGAAAAGAAATTAAACAAAATAGATCTATAGTCCAGAGCCAAGTGTCTTGCTGGCTCCTAATGTCCTTCTTTGTGACTGAGGCCTCTGGGCCTCAGGAAGTCTTGAGGCTTTGCTGGTCCACCCAGGGTCGTGAGTCTCAGGACCAAAATGCACCATCTTGCAGGTCTAAACCCAGCTATGTAGGGCCAGCTTCTCCCTCCACATGTGCAGGGTCTTCCTAACCCAGACTGTCTATAGCTAAATCTCTGTGTTGGAGACACCATAATCTTTACCTTCTGCTTTCTGGACATTTTGCTTCTTGGTGGGATGGGGAAGACATGGCCTGATGATGGAGTGAGGTGAGGCTCTTGGTAAATGTGTTCCTAAGCCCTGAGAAGGTTTGCCATACTGTTTCTGTCCCTTAACTTCTCTGGTCCCCATAGTCACTTGGCTTATGTGTGACCCAGGGAGCAGAGGGAAGGCAGGGGACCCAGTGTTGTCACCATACGTGTGGGGGCATGTCATCCTATGGTGAAGGGCAAGCCCCCCATAATCCCCAAAGCATCACTCACTCTTCCTCTGACAAGTCTCCTGTGTCCATCGGAGGCTTCCTTTCTTCTCCCATGGCACAGGTGACTGCCTGTGGGGAGTGGCAGGACAGCTTGTGGAACTCACCCAAGGACCACATAGGGCAGAGAAGGGACAGTAATATGTGGACCAGACAGGACTCTGTAGAATAGGAATGTCCAATTGAGGACCCTGGCCTAGGAATGGTATCCTTGTATGGGCCTCCATAATCCCTGAGCTGCAGATGGGGAGATCTGGCCCCTCAGTCCAACTCTGCTGCTGGCTGACCCTTCCAGGGAGGCCCATGAGTAGCCTCATAGAGACTTAATGACCAGTCTTTTCATCATGTGGTGTGATCTCAGGGATAAAGGAATAAAAGGTGTTATCTGGAAAGTAACCGACCTACAAATAACCCTTACACTTGCCAACATAGAACTTTAGAAAGATTTCAAAAGAACTAACTGCTTATTACAATAGAGAATTAGAGGAAAAGACTACAGATAATTGTGTTGGAAAGATACAAGTTCACTTCATCATTTGGATAGTAATGATGGTGTGATGATGATTTTGATGGTAATGATGATGGTAATGATGATTATGTGGTGCTGATGGTGATAATGATGGCAGTGATAGTGGTGATGATGATATGGTGATGATGGTGGTGATGATGGCAGTGATGGTGATGGTGATGATAACATTGGTGGAAATATAAGGGTGATATTGGTAAAGATGGCAGTGATAGTGGTGATGTTGATGGTGATGGCAATGATGATAGTAATTCTAGTAGCAACAGCAATGGTAGTGATGGTGGTGGTGATGTGGTGGTGGTAGAGCTAATGATAATGATGATGACAGTAGTGATGGTGATGATGGTAATGATGGTGATGATTGTAGTGATGATATGGTGGTATTGATGATGACAGTGTTATGATAATGGTGGTGATACTGGTGATACCTAATATCAAGGCCACTGTTTTGAGGGCTCTATGAAGCAACCCTGAGGTGTGGATATCACGATTCCCATTCTACAAGGTAACAATGCAGGAACAGGAGGTACGTAAGTGTTTTGAGCAGTTTCTGGCAAAGTCAAATATCTCTCACTCAGCCTTCAAATGTGCCCTTTTCTCTGCCCCAGCATGATACCCTAAGAGATGCTGAGTACCCAAGAGCCCAGACTGGTGTTAAAATGTGGGGGTGGGGGTGACAGAGAGACAGAGAGATAGAGACAGAAAGAGAGCACAAAGGTGTCCTCACGACACCCCCAAATTCAGTCCTCAACACCATTGAGGGTGTTGCTAGCTCTGGAGATGCTAGCTCTGGGTCTCTGCCTCACCCTCCAACACATGCCTGCTGTGCCCCACCCCAGGCAGTATAGGTGCTTTCCCAGTGGGTGGTTTCTCATCTGAAGAGTTTTGTCTCTACCTCCTCCTCTGTATGATCTCCCAGCTCAATCTCCACAAACACAGATGGTTTCTGTGAATGGAAACAAAAATGTATGAGTGAGGTGGGAAGAAAGGCAGCGTCTTGAAAGGAGCTTCAAATTTTGGACTTGTGGGCAGCTAGGTCTAGGTGGTTCCACCAGGTCCACCAGATGCTGGTGATGGTAGAGGAGGCTCCTGTGAAACTGGGTGCAAGGCCCATGTTCACATACAGTACAGTGTCCATGGGGCTAGCTCTAGGAAGAGAAGAGGGAGAAGTGTGAACTTCTGACCCATTCCCTTCTCACTGGAAACAAGTTCCCAAGACTCCAAGGTTTTCTTTCCTCTACCTTCGCCCTGAGTGCCAAGGCCTACAGGCGACAAGGCACTGTTGAGACCTGGTGATCACTCCCCAGCTCTGCTCGACTCAGAGCATGTGGATTGCTGTCACACATCTGCCTAGAGCCAAGTTTCACCAAGATGAGACCTACCCCAAGACAGGATGGCTCAGTAGCTCAGAGAATGCTGCCCTGGTCTCTTGCTGGGCACCTTGGCTGACCCAGAACCACATTAAGGACCATCTACTATAAATCCTGATGAACAGTGTTTCCCACTGTCACCATTCCCTATCTACATGGTCTGAGAGAGAGAGATTAAAGCCACCCTCCTTCATAAAGTGTAATATGAAATCCCTAATTTGGCACTAATGTATCTCTAGTCAGCATGCTTGGGTGAGGGGCTCTGGGGATATTATTCTGGGCCAAGATCAACTAGAAGGTCAGCTCTTCTCAATATCCCACACTTTTAGTGACTGCACTGTTTTACAAGCTGGGGCAGGATGTTGTTAGGATCAGGCAAAGAGGACGAAGGCTTGGTTCCTGGACCCCTTCCTGTACAGTTGGACAACATGGCACCTGCTCAGATGACTTCGTGGATCACAAATCCACAGTACATTCATAGCTCACTGTCTTGTGTACAGATAGATTTGCACATCTTACTCCTGCTGCTAACGTAAGAAGCTCTTGCCTGTTTTTCTAGGTCATTCGGCTTTATGGACTCTGGTTCTTGCTCCTATAAGTCAAAGAAGATACCAATAGGTGAGTCCAGGGGACTCCTCGCAGGACAGAGTGCTGCAAAACTGCCAACAGCCTGACCTCTGCCACCGAAGTGCATCTTTTTGTGCATGCATCATCTTGCTCCTCTGTGGTGCTGGCCTTGGAGTCACTCTTCTCTGGCTCCGTTTTCCCACTCTCGTCTACCAGTTTTTCCTGCGCATCCTGGTTCTTTTTCTTTCTGTCTTCCTCTAAGCTCATCTGACTGGAGGTAAGTGGGAGGGGGATGGAAAGAATGCTTTGGATTAAAGATCACATGACGGGAGATACTTGCTCTCAGGCTCCTCCCCCAATGCTAGGGGTCAGGTGATTCTGTGGTCCCTCTTGGGGGATGAGAGGTTTTGATGAAGGCCCTCTTATTTCCCTTTGATGATCCACCTTCACTAGCCCAACTCCCTCCAGGTGGAGACCTGATAGTTAGGGAGGTCAGTAAACCGTGGCAGGTCTGTGTCTGCCACTCAAGCCTATTTGGATGGCCCTCCATCCCCCATGTAGTTTGGGGTATAGCTAGGGTAGGGGGAATGTAGGAACAGGGAACACACACACTTCACCTCCATCACCAGTGGTGAGACTCAGATAGCTGCTGGCTTTTGACACATTTTTGGTTGTGCCACTCAAAGGCCTTCCAAGATCCACCTTGCTCCTTACCTGCAGCAAGACAGATGCTCCAGTCCGATGTGACATGTGAGCACCTGGCTCTACTAACCAATGGTACCTTCAATAGCTTCTTGGCCAAAACCTTCCCACCTCTATCTTCTCTGGTCTAGCACTTTTTATTAGTATTGGCTCATGGGAAGCCATTTGTGAACAGGCAACAGTCCAGGGTGAGTAGATTTGGGGATCTGAGAAAAATCCTTGGGTAATTCAACAACTTTAAAACCCCCTAGATGTCAGAAGGGTAGGGGATACAGAGGGATGCCTCTGCTAGATGACCAGGCATCCTGTCCGGTACAAGTTCTCTCTCTCTCTCTCTCTCTCTCTCTCTCTCTCTCTCTCTCTGACCAGTAGTTGGGTTAGTTATAGTTCCAGCCCTACATACCCTCCCCTCCTGGCAAGGAGACCTCATTGGGGCCAGCGGACATGAGACAAGCTGCAGCTTCCTTTCTGGGAGAGTCATGTGGGGATGTTTGCTGAGATACTGACACTAAGCCAGGTGGATATGAGACAAAGCTTGTCTGTGAGGTGGGGAGTGCAGTCCTGAGACACACTAGGGTAGATCCCGTTTCTGGGATAAGTCCCTTGAAGAAGATCCCCAGCCCTCCCAACCGACCCTCCACTGAGCGGATTCTGCCTCCTTTGGGCTCCTCCCACATCCTGACCCTAAGGGAGGGCTCCATCCCTATTCTCCACTACATCAGTCCTTGTATTTCTGAAGACAATCTCATCTACTTACCAGCTGGCACCATCAGTATCACTTCTTGGGTCTTTCCCCTGGTTCTCAGGCTCTGAGGATCCAGGACAGTTAGTTAGTACATGAACACTCCAGAGCATGATGGCTTCTACCCACCCCCCCAGGACCTTCCCTGAGCTCCCTACAGTTTGCTACCTTACAGGTGCACCGTCCTGCTTGGCATTCTTCTCAGGGCAGGCTCAAGGCCAGTCTGAGGGTGAATGGCTGTGGCTAGAAGGAGCTTCTTTTCTTGTATACCTTGGCTCCTTTGGCAGTGCCCTAGACCCACCTCCATCTTTTCTGGTATAGTACCTTTCATGCCTGGGCTGGAGCTTGGAGCCTACCTCATGCCCAGTTATAAAAGCCCACCCTTTTGCTCTCTGTATTCTCTCTCTAGGACCTAGGTTGGGCATCCATGGCCTCTCAGAACATGTCTGAGACTCCCCAGATCCTCTTCACCTCAGGTACTAGAGTGACAGAATGGGAGGCAGGGAGAGGGGATCCTCCCAGGATGACCACTTGCTGGAGATGGAATGGCTTTCCAGGAATACCCAGTCCACGGATACCTCTTAGCTTTGAAGGCTATCACTGGGGTGATCTTAATTGTCCTCTATCCTGAGGGGAAGGAGGCACCTTGAAGTTGCCTAAAGTTAAGGGGACCCTGCAAACGGAAATGAAACATGGATTCCCCTGTCTCAAGGCACTAACTGCAGGGAGCTGTGCCAGGTGATTCTGGGAGGCACCAGATGGTCTGTGAGCTATCTCCTGGCATGTTCCATCTGTATGCAGCTCCCTCCCCTGGAACTTCCAGGGAGCTGGCAGTCCAGCACAGCATTCAGGGAAGTCATGCACAGGCAACTTTAGGATCTAAGCAGGCCTCGGGTGGGCAGCCTCATTCTGAACCCATCCTCCCAACTTCTAGTGCTGCCACCTCGGCCAGTTCTGAGCATGGATGGTTGGTGTGACCTGATCACTACAATGGCTCTGGAATTCAGACATAGCCCAGGAATACCAAAGCTTTAAAGAAGAGTGGATGATCAAGTTAGAGCCTGAGTTGGGGCAGCCCTGACCTGGAGGGCTTCCTTATTGAACTGACCAGCCCTTTCCTCAGGCTTAGCTTGCAAGTCAGGAGATGATGCTAGTGCAGGAGGAAACACCTCACCAGCTGTTCCTCTTCCTCTCCTATCCATCCTGCCTGTCCCCCAATGCTGCCCTCCATGGGGATGCTGGGTGCTTTGCAACCTGCCTCCTGCCTACAAGGAAGCTTGTCCCCTCTTGTGCTCAGCATACCAGGCCTTGGCCTGGGCCATGTGTTCCCTTTCTCAGGAGACCTATGCTGTCCCTCTGTTGCCTGCAGTGCTCTAGGACTTAGGTGTGTGGACATCTGTGAATGGCAACTGTCCGGCGGGATAGGGTGCGGGTGTGTTTTTTTTGCTGGGAATTAGGAGCTGTTTCATAGCTTTGCAGAATAGTTTAGACCTTGAGAGTTCTTACATGTCCCTCAGGGAGAAAAAGGAGATAGCAATTCCATCCTAGCCCCAGATAAGAGGCCAAAGGGTCAGAACGGGGCTTGGCAGGAAGCCTTGTGATTTAAACACTTCCAGGATTTAAAACTGAACTTCTAGAAGGTCTCTAGCAGCCCCCATCTGAGTGCACATGTGTACATGCATATGTACATGAGTCAAGAGAGGCATGTGTTCCACTGTTTGGTGCAGTTCTGGAGTTGGAAACCACCTTCTTTCCATGGGATTGCATTGTGCATGATGTACAAATTGCCAGTGTTTAGATGTCCACAAACTGTCCCTTCTTGAGGCTGGGTTTGGTCCTGGCCTGCCCTCCCACCCTCCCAGCCCTCCTGGGAGGCGCATCCCCCTACCAAGCTCCTTGTGTAGTCGCTTCCTGATGCTGGCTGGTGGGTCCCCCTTCTGGTGCAAGATACCCACACTCCTGCTCCTCAGGAGCTCCACCCTGTCATGGGCCATCTTGAGGGATCCAGGGGTTAGTCCAGAGGGCAGGGCTCCATGGCCTGGCTGGTGCTTCCTGTGAGTGTTGGGATCTTTCTCCATCTTGACCCAGAGATGAGGAGGGAGCTACCAACACAATCTCAGACCAAGGGCACCTCTGCCAGCCTCTTTTCCTGTCTCTCTTTCAGTGAAGTAGCCCACAGTATGTCCAGTCCCTGTTGCTAGGGCACAGCTGTGACATCACAAGGCAGAGGTCAAAGGCTGACCGGGCCCATCCCAGAGGTCTTTGTAGGCTGGAGGTTTCTTGAATGGCTTAGTGTATTTCTGGTTTCTTCATCAGCCTGGAATCTTCCAGAAGACAATACCTAAAGGATATGTGTTTCTAAAACCTTTGTGCTGCTTTCTTCCACTTGAGATTCCCTTTTCTCTAGGAATAATGCTGGCAGGAAGCAAAATCAGGAAAATGAAGGTGTGATCTGATGTATATTACAGGCCAAAGGGTCAGAATTTGTGACTGGAATGAGGAGGGCTTGGAGGGAAACCTGGTGATATAAATCACACTGACGTGAAAACCAGCCCACGCAAGACCACAGTTTGTGTGTCTTTAATCAGAGAAATCGCTCTCCATTGGAGACTGGAGGTCAACATCAAGATATGGCAGGGCAGGCTCTCCCGTAATCTCTTTCATAGTCTACAAATGCTGTCCTTATAGTGCTGTCTCTCAAGTCTGTACTCTGATCTTATAAGGACACCAGGCACACTGGATTGGGGCCTACCATAATATTCCAGTTTGGCTCTGTTGCTGTGATAAACAACATGGCCAAAAGCAACTTGGGGAGGAAAGGGTTTACTTCATCTTACACTTCACAGTGCATCATTGAGGGAAGCCAAGGTAAGGACTCAAGGCAGAAGCTTGGAACCAGGAACTGGAGCAGAGACCATGGGGGAATGCTGATTGCTGACTTGCTTCCAGGCTCACATTCACCTATGTTTCTTACAGAAAGAACCCAGGCCCACCTGCCCAGGGATGGCATTGCCCATGGTGGGCTGGGCTCTCGTTCATTAATTAGAAATTTTTAAAAAATGCCCCACAGACACAGCCACACACCAGTATGATCTGGGATATTCTTTAGTTGTTTCTTCTTCATGAGTGACTCTAGGTTTGTGTCACATGAAAACACAACTCTGACTTCAAAGGAGATAACAGATAATTTATTTTAGAGCCAAACACAAGTGGCCATGGCCCTGGAACACATTCAGGTTTCCCCAAACTCCATGTTCCAACATGGCAGCAGTTTAAGATTTTTTAAAATTAAATTTTCATTATGAATATATGTATATGTTTGTGTGTATGTGCATATGTGAGTTCAGGTGCCCATGGAGTCTAGAAGAAGGCATTCGATCCTGTGGACTGGAGTTACAGGTGGGATATGAGTCTCCTGACTTGGGTGCTTGAAACTGAACTCAAGTCCTCTGTAAGAACAGAAAGTGATCTTAACTACCACACCATCTCTCCAGCCCTTTAATGAAGTATTTATAGCAACAGAACAAAGAAAGTCATAAATCAAGGTACTTTTCAAAAGCATTGGTGGAAACATTAAGTAGGTGGGCTATAGCAATGCAAGGAACTCTCAGCTATGGGCCTCGGATGCTATCCAATGGCATTCCCAAGCTTTTGGTTGGTGGAAAGTAGGGTTTTATTGATGCATTCCAAAAGGTTTTCCTTGTTAGTCACAAGGATGTTAGGTTAGACACAGAGATGGGTAAGGCTTGCCTACCAAGAAGGTTAAAGATAGCCTGAGATAATTAGGCTGCAGATCTGCAGAATCCCCCAAACTATCCACAATCTCTGAAGTTCTAATCAGCTAATCAGCCTTGTAGAAGGTTCAATGTAAGGTGTGGTTCTTTCTAGGAACTTTCATTTCCAGTTCCCTCAGTTGGCCAAGCATCACATTTTATGTATGTAGGAGCCACATATTATTTGTTAACTATTATTAACCTCCCACATTGCTAGGAAGCGTTTCCTAGGATCTGATACAGATGAAGCTGAGGAGTAGGCAGGACAGTCTTCAGGAGAGAGGAAAAGCTGGTAAAGTCAGTAAGGAAAAAACTCTTGGATCATGTCATTAAAATTTACTAGCCATTATGATCTGGGTCTGATTTTTATGTATTTGACATAACGTGACATGTAATAATGATATATCTAAAATTAAAATAATAACAATGTCTGGCTTAACAAAGTGAAGGTAACAGCTGAGGGAAACAGGCATTGTAATCAACCACAACTTACATATTTGAAAAACTAGACTGAGTGTATGTTTCCCCCTGTATTTACAGTTATTTGTATCTTATGATCTATTTATTTATATGCAGATTAAGCATCTTTTAATTTTAGTTTTTCTTTCGGTCAGCTTGATATTGTTGATATAGCCTCATGTGGAATGGCTTGTTCTAATTCTTAGGAAAAATTAGTCTTTAATATCTGAATTATCTGTGGTCTGTTTTGTTATATTGGCATTATACCAGATTTAGTTTAGAAAAGTAAATAGGAAGCTACATTATAGAATACATTTGACAATATAGCATTCCTTTAAATTTTCTCTTAAGAAGATTTTCTTTTTCTATGTGCCAAATATTATTAATAACAGTGACAGAAACAAAAGATCTGACTTGATAGAAATCAGAATTTTATAGGTCCTGCAGGCATAACCATCTTATTTTTATTGTAACCTTTTATCATTCCCTATCTTCTCATATTCAACCATATTTTATTTTAATGCTTAGAAAGGAAAATAGAACTATAGAAGTCACTGTAGTATTGCCCATTTCCTTTTTATTAGCAAAACAAAAATATGATTTAATTAAAGTTTTAAATCTTGGATAATTGTACTATATGACACCTTAAATATTCATTTAATCAAGAAACATCAGTGATTAAAATATAAAACATCATGAATGTTATTGATAGTAAAGATTGCTGTCTTTTGTATAATTTGGATAAGAAGAGTTAACCCAACTCTTTGGGTTATCTCTAGCTAAAGCAAATGGAGTTAGAGCTACTTTAAGTTTGTTAAACATTTGAGCATGTTATAGGGCTTTTTACAGTGTTTAATTCACTGCATCTTAACTTTTTTTAATTTTAAAAAATTATTTATTTACTTTTATTTTATGTGTATGAGTGTTATGCCTGCATGTATATAAGTGCACCCATTGTCGTACAATGCCCGCGGAGGACAGAAGAGGGTCTCAGATGCCCTGGAGCTGGAGTTATGGATGGTGGTGGTTTGCCATCATGTGGGTGCTGGAATTCAAACCAGGGTCCTCTACTGCTGAGCCATCTCCTTTTTTTTTTTTTGAGACAGGGTCTCCCTGTAGGTACAGATGGCCTGGGACTCGCTGTGCAGACCAGGCTGGCCTCAGTCTCAGAGATCTGCCTGCCTCTGCCCCCTGAGTGCTGAGATCAAAGGTGTGCACCACCATGCCTGGCACATCCTAGCATTTTTTGCATCAGTAGAAGCGTAGTAATCTAATTGATTGAACTCAGTTATTTTTCCCTTTTTCTCAATAAGAAATAAGAATTTAGATATAAAATATAGGTATGCCCAAATGGATCAACTTTTGGCACTTTTTCCTTTTGAGCCATTTGTTTACCTTTGTGGTCAGTATGTTAATCATTTAACAAGTATTATACCTAAACTCTTTTTATCTTTCTTTAAATCTAAATTTAAAAGAGAAATTGTGATGTAATGTAGCCCATTAAAATGATATGTAAACCTTAAGTCTTTGCAAACCTTGAAGCAGGTTTTTAAAATGGCTTTTTAAAAAAGTTTAAGTTGGACAAGAGATGCTTAAAGAACTCAGATTTTTGAATGTTATTGTTTGCCAGGGTTAAATCTTCTGTAATGCCCATTGGGAAAAGGAAACTTAACATGACAACGGCAAATACACATAGCCACTATTTTATATGTAGTCTAGCCTTAATAGAAGCCTTACATTTAATGGTTTTATATTGAGTATTTTTTGATAAAGAAACTTTTATGTTACTCATGACTATTACACTAATGAAATAAGATAAAATTTTAACTATTTTTTTTCATTTGGAACCTTTTTGGGAAGGAAATCCTTATCAAACTCTCTTTATATAACAATAAACTTCATAGCTTAATGAAACCTTTATGACTCCAATGAACGTATTTTATATAATAAGCATTTAAAAATTTAATGAAACGCTTAACTAGAACAAAAGATATAATTTTGGTAGTTTTAAGAAGTTCAGCATACCCAAGTTTATAAGGTAGCATGTGCTTAAAACATCTTTTAATATATCACCTAAATACCCACATTTATAAACATTCACATGTGTATTTTAATTGAGCATGCCCCCTCAAAGTAAATATTTGTACACAATAAAAAAATGAATGAAAAAAATCCTGAAGTGGCCACAAGATTGTTATATAAAAAATTTTTGACTGGGAAAGGACACAAAACAACACATGAAAACAATTATAGACACACATGATAGGATTATATGAAATTCAGGTACCCCCGAAAAGAACAAGTAGAAAGTTTAAAGATATAGATAGCTATAGCACATGACAGTGCAAGGAGTCTAAAGTCACCTAATTTGGGGCCTTAACTTCCAGAAGCCAGCCCCTTTCTCAGAGTGTGGGGGTGGGAGCAGCAGAACTTCTGTTTGTCTAAGTTACTGGCTTTGCAGAAGGCAGATGTGGCAAGGAGAAAAGGAAAGAAACAGAAAGGACTTTAAAGATTTCAGGTTAGGAGAAAGTACAGAACTAGTTATTCCTAATGTGCTTCTTCAGGGGGGTAGTTTTCCCACAATGCTTCAGGCAGCTCTTTGGAGGCTAGAGAATGGTCTAGACCCTCTGGGGGAATCAGCCCTGATGATGTCCCTTGGAAAAGTCATATGTTGTTCCATCTGACCCAGGAACAGGGTACACATGAATCTAAAGGATTTTGTTTTGTTTAGTTTTAGGCAGGGTCTCACTATGTAGCCCTGGCTGGCTATGTCAATCAGGCTGGCCTTGAACTCACAGAGCTCCACCTGCCTCAGCCTCCCAAGTGCTGGGAGTAAAGGCATGTGCCACCACTTCTTACTTCCTAGACTGATTTTTATCTCTAAAAGTTCAGTTTTAGATGCTTTACGTTTTCTGTAGGGCACAGATGAAGGCACACTGAGGCTGTAGAAGAGTAATAGAAAAATAATGGAAAACCTCTTGGTGCCTGGGTATGGGAGAGGACCAACATCAAGGCCTAGATGCCCAGGACCACAAGTGGAGTTAAGACCACAGCTGGGCCTCAGGGGATGTGGGAATTCCATTCTAGAGAATCAGTCCTCTGAAGTAGTATTAAAGGTGTGCGCCGACACACCTGGCTCATCCTATGGTATTTCTTTGGTGCCAGTGGTACTTATCAACACTAAGTAGCTCTAGGGCCAAAAAAAAGTCAAGGAACCAAGGTAACACATGCTTAGGCCAGCGACACATAGGCAAACTTAACAACACTTTAAGATGGAGTCCAACAGAAGCCCTCAGAAACGTCAGCAGTGACTGGAGGGAGACATAACTCCACACTGTCACACTTAGCAGCCTAAGGAGCTCCCCTAAACTTTTAGGGACCTCTACTGAAACCAACCAGGATTTGTGCTGAAAAGAATTTTAGGACTAGCTGGTATAATAAAATACTTTAATATAAACTTAAGCATGAGAGGTAAGAGAGAGTTGCTCAGGGAGGAAATAAGACACTCCCACATATAACTTCCAAAGAGAAAGTATTTTACAAATGGGAACTCTTAAGATAGTGCAGGATCTCTTTTCTATAGCTTCAAAAGCAGGAGATGGAGAACAGGCCAGGTCAGAGGAAGAGATGAGACTAGGGCATTGTTTGCGAATTTATCTCTAGGTTTGACATAACCTAAAACCTTTAATTTTTGGTCTTTTTGAGACAGAGTCTCCCTATAGCCCCAACTGGCCTGGAACTCACTATGTACACACAGCTGGCCTTGATCTTACAGAGATCCACCTGCCTCTGCCTCCTGAGTGTCATCATACCCAACTTCTAAAATTGTTTAATTTCATATTTTTAACATCTCTTTTAACCCACATGTAGTTTTTAAAGTTCCTATCTTTGTAAATTATCAATTTTATCACTTCTTAAGATGATTTAAAATTCCAATTAAAGCAGGCTCTGTGTGTGTGTGTGTGTGTGTGTGTGTGTGTGTGTGTGTGTGTTATTGCCTAGAACTTCTGGTTAAGTATGCAAAATAAACCAATTTAGAGATAGTAAATGTTTCCTCACTGAGGAAAATGTAAGGTGAAATTATCTTCAGTTAGATTTTCCCAGTTTTAAAAATACTTGCAAGTCAATGCGTATGTTTGCACACACCTTTAATCCCAGGCAGAGGCAGATGGAGCTCTGTGAGATCCAGGCCATCATGGTCTACAGGGAGAACCTATAACAAACAACTAACCACTACCAGAAAAAACCTTGCAAAAAGGTGAAATTAACGCACTTATCAAACACAAAAACAAGTAGAAGATCAAATGACCTTCGTTTTTTCCTCCAAACATTTCCCCTTCCTTAGGTGAGCTATGGGAAGGATGTCCAGAGGAAAAAAGGTACTGCTTTAACAAACCAAAGGTCAGAGGTCTGAAAGCAAATGGAACCAAACTGAATGGTAGGGAAAAGTCCTTTCAAAGCACTTTGAAAGCCACCCCAAAATCTAAAAGGTATCTACCAACTAGGATCCTACACAGTCAGCTCAGAATAAACAACAAAGGGACCACTGACCAAATCAAGAGCAGTCTGAGTACTGGAAAGAACTCACCAAAATACGTATGAGGCGATAACACTGGAGGGTTTGCAAACAAGGCACCTGTGCAGTACTGGGTTGACGTATCCTTGAGAAGGATCATTCTTGAAGCTTCACATTCACATACCATTAAGTGTTGACACAAAAATACAACTCTTACCTCAAAAGGGATAAGAGATAGTTTATTCTGGAGCCAAGTATGAGTTGACCATGGCCCTGGGAACACAGATTCAGGTTACCCCAAACTCTACGTTCCAATGTGTTAACAGTCTGATAAAGGTTTTATAGTAACAACAAATTAAGTCATATCAAGGCACTTTTAAAATACATTGGTGGTGACATCAGGTGTGTAGGTTACAGTAAAGCAGGAAATCTCAGCTACAGGCCTCAGATACTGTCTGACAGCATTTCTAGCCTTTTGGTTGGTGGAAACTCAGGTTTTGTTGAGTTAATACAAAACGTTTTAGCTGTTGGTCATAAGGATATTACATCAGACATAGAGGTGGGCAAGGATTGGCTATTTAAAGGGCTAAAGATAGCTTGAGATAAATTGTAATTAGGCTCTGGTTCTGCAACTTTCCAAGGTCCCTACAATCATGGGATTTCTTTTTAATTGATCAGTCTTGAAGAAAGTAGTGTAAGGCACCATTCTTTCCAGTAACTTTCATTCACACTAGTGACCTGATTTAAGCTTCATTACTTCCTAAAGGATCTCTTCTCAAACACAGTCATGCCAGAGGTGCTGGTTTAGGTCTTCAGTATGTGATGTTGAGGGCACAATTCAACTTGACACAAGACTCCTGGTTCACTGCTCCAGTGCATGATCATCCACAGTCAGGACCACAGTGGAGGGAGGAGGGGTGCCTTACCCTCCAGAGTTTTTGATTGGGTCTGAGATTTAGACTGACCCATGGCAGAGTAACAGGAAGAAATATATATTAATTTAACAAAGTTTTCCTGGCATGGGTGCCTTGTAAGGAATGTGGCCTGAAGTGGCAAAAAAAGAAGAAAAAAAAAAAGCTTTTCTGTTACCAGAAAGAGAAGAGTGGTGGAGAGGGCACTGTAGGAGGTGGAGGTGGGAGGACAGACAGGGCTGGGTCAACAAGGTCTATGTGCAGAGTCCCTCCTTCCACCCTAGGTGGTGATAGTCACCTTCATCCTGGTACAGGGAAGACATTGTCCACTGGGGTTTATATCCTGATCTGGGGAGAAGCAGGGAAGCTGATGTACTTTCTCTGTGTCTACTGGCTTTTCAAGTGACCTCAAAATAAGTCTTCTGCCAAAGAAGTTCCTCGCCTCTGATGAGTCCACTTTCAAGGGATTCATCATAGCACAGATCTCCTGATAGCGTGCTCACAGATGCAAGCAGTACTCCACACATATAAATCCTTTGCTTGCCTCTTTAACTTCCTTAGGAGCCCAGCATCTCACATTCTGGAGGCTGCAGGTCACCTGATCCAGGGGCCAATGTGGAGACCCAGCAGCCCCACCCACCCCAATCCAGATGTTCTGAGGGTTGGAGCCTTAGATGAAAGCCTAGAGGTAGTTCATGGAGACTGCTTCCTCTCTCCAATGACTCACAGGCCTTCTGGAAGAGCACACAGGCATGACTGGGCTCTCTGTTATGGACAGCTGTGGAGGGGCTCCAGGCCCTGTATCCTGGGGTTTCATTTTTTGTATCTCCTTCCTCCAGGGACTGGTCTACTCATTCCCAATGCTGGGTTGTTCTTAACCTAGCATGATCTAGTGTGGACACCCAGGTGAGTAGAGGGGACACACCAGGCATGCCTGAGTGTGAGTTGGGCCCTAGCCAGGCATGCCTGATTATGAGCTGGGTCCTAGCCAGGCATGCCCCAGTGTAGGCTGAGTCCTAACCAGGAATGCTCCAGTGCAGGCTGAGTCCTAACCAGGAATGCTCCAGTGCAGGCTGAGTCCTAACATTTCCGGAATATGAACTTAGTCCTCTGTCCTGGTGCTTCCTAATCCTGTGGTGGATGCTTTGCCCAGCTGACTAGGCTGACAGGTGACCGTGGCCAGGGCAGCACACAGTCCTCACTGTAGCCCTAAGAGTTCACTATCAGACAGGAGCCTGAGGAGTCGGGTCACCCTTCCTAGCCTGACTCCATACGCTTCTGTGGCTGAAGGAAGCTGACCAGGGACCCAATGACAGCCTCATCCTGTCTTGGGAAGCCTTTTTGTCTGAGTCTTTGGCCCCAGGAAGACCCCTAAGACATATCCTACTCAGTGTTCCCAAAGTCAAACTCCAGACTTTTCTTCTAATGGCTTAGACTCCCAATAGAATTATAAAGAAAAATGAGTGAAAACCAAATGGAGAAAAGAGAGGAATAAGGAAATTAGGTGCTCCAGTGGTGCCTGCATGGCCATGCAGCCCCCAAAGGCCTCTACTTCTTATTCTCTTTACATAGTGCCATGACTTCACCCCACTGTGTCCTTGGAGACAGAGGCATGGGAGAGGGCTGTTTCCTCCCGACCCCCCCACCCCTTAGCTGTGTCCAATGATGTAGGACCTTCCAGCAGGTGCCTAACGCCACACCTCTTTTGAAGGCATCATGAAGCCAGACTCTCACATAGAGCGTCATAAGTAGACACCATCTGTCAGAGATGTCACATGTCATGAGAGACACCACCTGTCTGGTCTGACAACATGGCTGTCTCTCTCCACTGCTCCACCCATGGGAGTCTCTCTGGAAAACCAAACCAGTCCTTGGAAAGAATAAAGCATCTGTTTTAATTGACCGGTAAAATACATTGCAAATCATTAGTACTTTATAAACAGAAACATTAAGTTACAAATCCGTGTTAAAAACTGAAGTTCAGTGCAGCCTGATTGCTGTGTCCAAAGTTAATTTTTTACACTTCCCTCTATTTCTGTGATAACCAATGCTGTTACCATCTGTTTTCTAGATGAAGAGTGAACTTCCCAATAAGAACAAAGAGAAACTGGTACCGGATGTGTGCCCCATCCTTCAGCAATGCCTACCCACTGAGCACCTCTCTCCTCAGCCTGTGGAGACACTGTTTGGGATGAGGCTCCAGCAGCAGTGTGGGGCCAAGCTGAAGCAGTCTGCCTTGCCTGTTTCAAGACCCTCCCATTCTAATAAAAAATGCCCCCCCAGACATTGCCCTGCCCAGTCTCGGTTCACAGAGACACAGGCAGGTGAAACACTGCTCTCGGCCAGCCCTTCTGCACCTCTGAAGGTGCAGCCTCCAGCCCAGGGCTCCCTCCCTGAGGACTCTTAGAGTTGGCTTTGTGAGAAAACAAATACTGTTCCCTTTGGATCTGCCCTGTGGCATCCCCTTTAATATGTACAGGCTCTGATGTTCCAAATTACCTTATATCAAAATGCTAGTTAAAAACAGTCCTTTAAAAACATTAAGAAAAACAGCTTGAAAAATGCACATTAAAAACAAAACAAAACAAAAACTTTCCCATCTTTCACCAAGGTGGCAAGCATGTAGATTCTAGTTTTAAACTAGATGAATGCTTGAACTAGGGGTTTATGGTCACCCAGAGAAGACTGGACCCACAGTTCTTCCTCTCCAGGGACTCTGAAGAAGAGACCCCCATATCCCCAAAGGCCAAGGGCTTCCTGCACCATTCTGCCCATCCCAGGCACAAAACTGACCCCTTAGGCAGGAACAAACCAACACAAGCTAAACATAGAGGCTGCCTGCCTTACTGGCAGCTGGAGAAATACTGCTTCTAACATCCCAAACAGGGATAAAGTACAATGTCTGGGGCTGGGGCAGAAGGCTTACACTGTGCAGAGCCACAGAGACCAGTGGGCAAAGCACAGGAGACAGCACACGCTTTGCAGAAGGCATGCATTGCCATGAATGAACCAGCTGTGGCTCCAGGAGGAAGGACTGGGTCATGTGGGAAGAGGTTTACAGGAAGTCCACAGTTCCCTAATATTTAACGGATCCCTGGATCCTCACAAAACCAAAGCAGTGAAAGACAAATGATCACATGTTCCAGAATGGCTCAGACCACCCGTGCTGGCAGGTAAGAAGTATACAGTTCCAGGCAACAGTTCCTGCAGAGGACAGCATGCTTGGCTGGCAGTGGCCCCACTGGCTTGGTATGAGTTGGTGGACATGGAGCCCCTCCACATGTGTCTTCTGTCTTCTTTTTTCTGCTTCTAAAGGTTGTGGGTTTCTTGATGTGGCTCATCAGCACCATCCTGGGATGCACTGTGACTTTAAATGGAATGGGTGGAGATCTCAGACTGCTGCCTTATGTAGTTCTGGAAGCTCTTGTCTCCAATGGGGTGCTCCCTGGAGAGAGCAGAGAGAAGAGAGAGTGAGGTACCACCCCCAACACCTAGGGTGTCCACTGTGCATTTGAGTGGGCTTTGTAAGTATTTGCCAGTGTGGCACATGCTCATCAGGAAAAATAGGGAATGTGCAGTCAATATTGCCACCATGACCCTGATTTCTCATGTGCATACCACATATGACACGTGTAGATTTCATGTATACATGTGTGTAGACCACATTTAGACTATATACACTAGATACACATACTCATAGGCTGTGCATTCTGACCACAGGATGCAGACTATGTATGGCAGATGCATGCAGATGTGTGCATGTGTTATTGTGGACATATGTGAACTGTGTACACACACATACAGTACATAGAAATTACAATACGTGCAGCATGTGTACATGTATATAGTGTGAGAGCATGGGTCTGTCTCCTTGTGTGCTGCTAAATGCTTCGTGCTCAGACAGGATCTGGAGCACTATGTGTGCCTGGTAACTGGAGCTCCATGGTGTATGTACACCTCCGTCCCCTCCTTGAGAAATGGAATTATTCTTCTCACTATTTTCAGCCTGTGGACTTTGGACTTTGAGGTTGACACATGTTTAATATGAACAAACCAAGGTTTATAGAAGGTAAATGTGGGTACCCCAAAGGGATCTGGTAGGATGATGGGACTGGGTGGGAGCAAGTACAGTTATGTCTGAAAGCAGAGCCAGAGTCAGCACCACCTGGGGGTGCTGACAGTCAGTCTTGCGAGTGCCCAGAGGTGGTCAGGAAATGGGCCATGATCATCTCCAAGAGTCCAGTGCAGTCAGGATATGGACCTTGTCACTGTCCCTGAGTTTCACTATATCCCTCCCTGGAGGAAGATGATTCAGGGAAGACATGTAGGCTGCCCATCAAAGGCTATGCCACAGGCTCTGTCACAGAAGTCCCGGGGGGCGGGGGCCCTAGATGGAGGGAGTGCCACACCATCTGCTGGCTTTAGGCTAGGGACTATCCCAGTCTTTATGTAATTTAACTTGATCTTCTCCAACCCTACATCTATATAACTTGACCTGCCCCAGGCTACATGGCCAGAGCTGGTACATGTAGGCTGAAAGAACTTGACCTGAATCTTCCACATCTACCCCTAAGCCTAACAGGAACAAGAATGCGGTCAGTCCAGAGCTAGCCCTGCTCCCAGTGCTTTGGGTGGCCTGGGGAGATGACAAAGGGCATATGTAATACTCAAAGGAGATGGTGCTGGGCCCAAGACACTGCTGAGGTCTGGAGACTGGAAGCTAGGGGTAGAGCTGCCTTCCTGCACAATGGGGAGCAGGGCTGGGTACCTGCGCTAAAAGAGACAGTAGGCTGGACCCAGGCCACTAAGCTCCATGGAGCCCCAGGACCCTCTTCATGGGGCGGGTTCTCAAAAGGGCACCCCAGCACTCACTGGCTCCCGTATCTCGTCTTCTTGAACTTGTCCCTCCTGTATTGTGCGTGCTCCTGTTCAAGGGTCCCCACCCCAGCGATGACTTGCTTCAGTGTCTTGTAGGTCTCCTGGGGGTCATCAATGATGAAGGACGAGTATTCCTCCTGCTCAGGGCCGTCGTACACAGATTTGCTGCCACAGGCCTCTGCCACAGGGCAGGGGGGTATGTCAGTGTGGGACACAGTCCAGAGTTTTGCTGCCTCCAACCCTTTCTCTGGATATCTACACAGATTACTCCAGTGTACTCCCAAGAGCAGCTCCTCCCTCAAAGGGCTGCCTGTTTGCAATAAGTGCAGACAGAAATACTCTAAGGGATAGGCCCTGTGCAAACAACCTGGAGGGCCTCTGGGTGGGCTGGACAGCCAAGGTCTTGCCACTGGCATTCTCGGGTCTGATGTCCCTAGCCTCAGTCCTCATTCCAGCCAACTTTCTCATGGGAGTGATCTGTACATCCATGTACTGCCTGCCAGCTAGGCCAGGAGAGAAGATGTCCACACCTAGACACTGTGCTCAGCTGTCTGGGGGTTAAGCAGGATGAACTTCCATTCTACAAAGGGCACAGAGCCTCTCTCACTAACCAGAGGCTTCTGGCCAGAATGTGCCAGAATGTTCCGGGGACAGCAGGGTAGATGGCCTGCCTGGCAGCTTCCAAGGACCTTTGCAGTCTGCCACTCCCACCTCCTCCCAGGTTTGTCTTTCTAATCACTTTTGCTACAGGTCAGGCTATGGTCTCTGGCCATCAATGGGGATCATTCAAACATCTGAGCCACTCTCACTCATTCCCAAACTATCCCAACAGGACCACAAATACCTGAGCTGGCATGGTTCCCTGCCTCACTGTCATAGGACTCGGTACATACCCAGGCTCAGCACTCAAGCTCTACAATTCTGCACAGATCATGGAATTAATGTTTGTTTTCCCCAAAGTTATGTACTGAAGTCTTATTTTGTTTTTCGGGTTTGTTTGTTTTGAGACAGGATCTCATTATGTAGCCCTGGCAGGCCTGGAACTTACCTATATAGATCAGGTTGACCTCAAACTCCTAGCTTGTTTTTGTTTTTTAAGTAGAATCTTGCCATATAGCCTTGGCTGGCCTACTGAATGCTGGGATGCCAGGCATGTGCCACATGCTTGAATCATGTCATGTCTTAACCCCCAAGTGCTAGTGTCAGGAGGTGGTCTGGCCATGAGGGCAGAGCCCTCGTGAATAAGATTAGTTACCCTGTATGAAGAGGCCCCTTCCACATACAAAGGCATAGCGAAAAGTCAGTCTGCAATCAGAAAAACTCTCCCCCAAACCAGCAGTGTGGCATCTGGATTGTGGATATCCCAGCTTCCAGAATAGTGAGGAAGAAATCTCTGTGACCAAAAGCACCCAGTTCATAGCACTTTATTTTGGCAGTCCAAAGGAACTAAAGCAGAAAATAGTGCCAAAAGTGAGCTGCTGTCAGAGCCACCTGAATGAGAACTGGCTTTAGATCTGGATGATGCCAGTGGCTGGAAGGTGCTGGGAACAGAACTGGATAAGTGGTTCTGGTGAGCAGCAGGGGAATGTCCCTGGAACTCCAAGCAGAATGAGGGAAGAAAATGACCACTAAGGCAGTTCTGCTGAGATCTGACTCAGATATGAGGAAAGGGCTATCAAAGCTGGAGAGAGGTGATCCTTACCACAATGAGACAAAGAACTTGGCTGACCTGGATGTGTACCCTTCCATTCAAGACAGAACTTAGCACAATGAAACGGATGCATAGCTGAGGATGTTTCTAAGCAGAGTTGGAGGAGCAGTACGGGTGCTCCTGATTGTGTACAGTAAAGGGGGAAAGAGAAACAGCTAGATAGGATTGTTAAGCGAAAAGGATCTAGAAAATTCTCAGCCTACCCGCCCTATAAGTGAGGAAACATTTGAATGGAAGAGAATACTAAAGGGTAGCCAACACTCACCTGGAAAGATCAGGGTGGTGTGAGCTATGGACTCACCCCCTCATCTGCACAGAGTTAAGGGGTAGAGCGGGGCTCACCCAGCAGAAAATTTCCAGCAGGGACTAGAGGAAACTGTAGACCGGACAGAAAGAAGGAAGGCTGCCTGACATCTGGGGGTCCCATAGGACCGGACCACAGAAGTACTGGCTACTGATATACATGTTATTCAAGGTGAGGGAAGGAGGACCCCAAAAGCAACTCAGAGAGGAGCAGGGCTGCCCTTCCATATAGGAGAAGTCAGTCCTTAAGCCATCTATTAGATGCAGAACTCTTGATTATATCATTAAACAGATTCTGAACCCAGGAGAGGAAAAGATAAAGCTGACATAAGAAAGGATAAGTCAAGCAAAGAAACCGACCCTGCTTGTGATGAGGCTTGTTGTGATGGATTAGTTTTGTGTATGTGACACAATCTAGAATCACCTGGGAAGACAGTCTCAATTAAGGACTGTTTAAATCAGGTTGTCCTGTTGCTATCTATGTCTGTGGGGGATTATGTGGATGATAGTAATTGAGGTGGGAAGACCTGCCCACTGTGGGTGGCACCCTTCCCTGGGCAGGGGATTCTGAAGTGTATGAGAGTGGAGAAAGCCCAGTCTTGGGTGGATATAATGTATAGTTGCTTCAAGTTCCTAGTACCTAGATTTCCTAGCAATAAAGGATGGGAACCCAGCCAAATAAACCCTTTGTCCCTTAAATTGCTTTTGCCGGGGTATTTATCATAGCAAAAGAAAAAGAAACTAAGATACTTGTTAAACTATTTGGGGAAATGCCAGAGTGTGTGTTTGATACTTTAGCAAGGCCACAGGTGCATTTTTATAAAATGACTGAGATGTAAATTGTGAGCAAAAAATAAGCATCTAGTCAGATGCTTTGTACCAACTGACCATCTGCGGTTCCTGAGAATGACAGACAGGTCTGCTTGTCTCATAACTCTGGCCCAGGTGAGCAATGCACTGGAAGAAGTGATGGTGGGAAAACTTCAGACAGTTTGGCTGACAGCAGGATGCACAAGGAACCCAAGATACATGGAGCCATCCTCTGCTCCATGGACACAGATCAGAAAGAACGCTGGTTTCTGAACTTGCTTTGGAGACAGTGACATATAGAAATAGTGGCCTTTTACCTCATCCAAGTGGAATGAAGTAATGATGGCAAGGATGCACATCTGACAGTTGTGCATGAGACACTGGCACAAGATGCCATTGAGGCCATCCCACTGAATTTGCCCAGGCCCGATGATGGTACTGTCTGGTTGGCAAATGGACAGCTTGCTTGCCCAGCAACACAGCATGGGAAGCAGTGCCAACCGTTCCGCCCAAGAGTTCTTTCCACTCCTGCTGCATGCTATCCGCAGCCCAGCACTACAAAAGCAGCATTGGTCTCCAACACAGGATTTTTCTCCAAGCCCTGGTCTGAGTCTGCAGTACTCAGTTTCAGTGGGTCATCCAATTTCAGAAAGAATATTAAAGAGCTAGAATAGGTGTGTGGGGTTGGCCAGAAGAGAGACCATGCCACAGGAGGGACAAGGTGGAGGCTCAGGGTTTGGGCAGCACAGCACCCTTCAGGCACCAAAGCCCATCGTCCACTAAGGAAGGGACTTCTTGACTGGATAGGATTAAGCCCCATAGGTAGAGCCTTTGCAGAGATGGAATCTGGCTAAGAGAAATGGAGTATCCCAAAGTGATTAGAGCTCTCCAGTAGCAAAACTACCAAGAAAGCACTGAGATTTCAAGCAGAGGCATATGGGCTGCAGAGCTTCTGTGCCCTGCTGGAAACGGTGCTGCACAAAGTAAGCTCCACAGAGGTTTCAGCTCCACGAATAGTTAATGAGCCCTTATTGTCAAGATGATTCCTTCTTGGGAGGGAGACTGAGAATATGAGAACTGTTCCCTTTTGATTTTCCCTCTATCCACATACCCACCTGTCTCTCAATCCACATACCCACCCTCCCTGCCTGCTCATTCATCTAGCCATCTGTCTACCCCCACCTGTCACTGCCCACCTGTCCACTTATCTGTTGATCCTTCTTTCCAACTACACATCCATCTATCAGCTATTTGCCCATTTTTCCATCTATCCACCCATCAATGTGTCCATTCATCTGTTAATTCATCCACCTACCTGCTTATCTGCCTGTCTTACATCCATCTATGAGTCTATCCATCTATCTATCTACCCACCCAATCGGTAGTTGCTGGATCTCCTTTGCACCAGGCTCTGGGGTAAATAAGGCCTGTTCTTTGTTTATAGAAGATCATAATGTATAGAAGGCGAATAGATCGGAGACGGTTGTACTTGAAGTGACAGAAGTGAGCCAAGGTTGCTGAGCTGCAGAGGCTGGGAAGAAAATGCACAGGAAACATAGGCAAAAGCTAGACTGAGGTGGGAGGGTATTCCAGGACGAGTGAGGAGTGGGAACCTGGGACAGGAGCGGAGCTCTGTAGTGTGGGGCGGGGTGGGGCCCCATGCCATGTGGCACTGCTAGGAGAAGTAGGAGGCCAGCCAGGCACAGAGGTCTAGTCATCCTCATTCCCCAGTGGCTCTTCTACAGTGGCCTCAACCTCCCTAAGGTTCCTTTATTCCACCCTCCTCTGCCTCAGTCATGCTGCCAGAGCTGTCTCCAGCTGGCCACATGTCTACTGTGAGCAGTCCTAGAACCTCAGAGCAGGTACCGTGAATGCCAGGCTTACCAGAGGAGAAAACGTGGCTGATGTGCACGTGTGTGTGCTTAAGAACACACGTGGTAAGGTACAACTGCCATGTGTTGTCTGTGCACACACACGTATACATCTCTGTGTCTGCCTAGAGCTAGTCAATTGAGGCTAAGTAGTGTCTAGAGAACAGATGTGGCTGGGCTCATATGTGGGCACTAGCATGAATACACAGGACCATGCTCTTCTCACCAAGCTGGGTAAAAGAGAAGGAACATGGTAGGCTTATTTCTCAGCCCTATTGCACATGTGCTGTGAGGCATAGGGCCCATCATATATTCCCCAAGAACAGATCTGAGATCTCCACACACTAGGGTGGACAAGTGGTTCATGCACCTCTGGTGGGTTCTGCATCTGCCCCTCCTGAGTTACAGACCTCAAATCCTGTTATGTGGCATCTAATCTGCCCCACCTAGATTGCTTGCTTTAATTCTGTGAAGCAATAAAGTGTTAGGGATGACAAAGTTATAGATATTTGAAATATGCAGAATGCCTGGAGCTGCTAAGCATGCAGCACATTCACATGTGCCCACACACTTCTGTATGTAGCCACATGTGTGCATGTACACACACACATACACACACGCACCTTAGAGAAACACAGAACAAAATCCTTTGGTGGTATAAATTAAGAGGGTCTTCTAAAGAATTTGACAGTTCAGAGGTTGCACGTTAAATTCCATTAAATTCCATCTGAAAATTATTAGTATATCCCGACAGTATCTCTGTAGTGACTCAGCTCCAGGACCTCACCAGGCACCTTGGCTTACAGCTCCCTATGGTTGATGCCCAAGGGCCACACTCACCCTGCATCTTTTCCAGCTTGCTCATGTATAGGTTGAAGAGAGAGTAGATGCGTTCTGTTTCACGGTCCCCATCAATATCCAGCTGGATGTTTGCTGGGAGCCC